AGTTGGCCTAAGCCGAATTAAATTTGCAGCATGCATTATAGCATATCCCCATGCAGATGATGGTAATCTGGATTTCATCAATAATGGTCTTGAAATTAATTGTAATCGCTTAATTAAGGATTCAATAAGACCATTTTAAGTATGCACATGTGGAACTGGATGTTCCACATCAATCCCAATTGACATGCAATAGTCACTAAAAGATTGGGATGTAAATTCCCCTGCATTATCAAGTCAGATTTTTTTCATTGAATAATCCGGAATATGTGATCTCAAACGAATAATTTGAGCAAAGAGATTTGCAAATGCAAATTTCTAGTCGATAAAAGACTGACGTGTGACCAACGTGTTGATGCATCAATGAGCACCATAAAGTATCGAAAGGTCCACATGGAGGGGCAATTGACCCACAAATATCTTCTTGAATTCTTTCTAAGAATGGAGGAGATTCAACTCAAATTTTGTATAAAGATGGCCTTATAATTAATTTACCAAGAGAACAGGCAGTGCACGAGAAATCACTTGATTGTGAAATTTTGATATTATTTTATGAATGTCCAAATGAATTTTGAATAATTTTATGCATCATAGTGCTGCCTGGATGACCTAAACGGTCATGCCAAAAGAAAAAGAAATTGTGGTCATTAATTTTAGATACCACATTTATCTCAATTTGACTGATATATGTATAATATAGTCCGGGGGAATATACTTGCATTTTTTCAGAAATGTATTTATTGTCAGATCTATTTGTCGTTAGACATAAATATTCCTTTTGATTTTCAGACATGATTTCAATGTGAAAACCATTTAGAAGCATATCTTTGAAACTTAAAAGATTTCTCAGTGATTTACTCGAGTATAAAGCGTCTTTAATTATTAATTTTGTCCTTTTTGGGAGAATTACACAGGCTATTCCAGAACCTTCATTGAGTTTAGCAACACCTGAGATTGTATTGACATTAGCATCAACTAATGTCATATGAGAAAAATAATCTTTATGTCTCAAAATGGTGTGCGTTGTTGCACTGTCTATTAAACATTATTCAAAGTCACTTGGAGAAATTTCAGTTAACTCCATATCTTTAAAAAGATAAAAATGAACAAATATTAGCACAATATTGTAATATAAACAAGACATTATTCATTAAAATGTACATAACTTTTATAATCGAAATAAGCACACCAAATAAAAATTACAATACAACAAACTTTTATTGTACAATATATATATATATATATATATATATATATATATATATATATATATATATATATATATAACATAACAGAATAATTTCAATTTTATTATTATTATTATTATTATTCACCCATAATGATGTCAGTGTTCATCTCATTATCATCCATATAGAAATCAAACATATTAAATGTGGGTATTGATAGAGCGTTTTCGTTGACGGAATTATTTTCCACATTCTTTCCTTTTAGAGATGATTTATATAAGTCAACCAAATGTCTAGGTGTACGACACTTATTTGCCCAATGTCCCGACGTGCCACATTTAAAACAAGTGACTTTGGTTTTTTCTGAAGATTTCTTTGAGCCTTTTGTTTGATGAGGGTTTTGCTTTCCCTTGCCTTTGTAAAATGAGCTACTAATCTATTTGTTTCCCCGGCTAGGTCCATTATAACGACCAATACCACAGCCACGTTTGAAATGTCCACGAGCACCACTATGAGTTGCATTTGATTATGTTTTGAACCATGATTTTATGGACCAAAACTAAAAGGGCTACAACCTGTGGGTCTCATATTGTGGTATCTCATAAAAATGTCATTATTCGTCTCAGCAAGTAGTAATATTGATATTAAATGAGAATACTTTTGATAATGCTTTTGTCTATATTGCTCTTGTAAAAGCATATTTGAAAGATGCATAGTGGACAAAGTTTTTTTCAACATTTCAGCATCAGTGACTTTTTGTCCGCATAACTTTAGTTTTGATGTTATTTGGAACAAGACAGAATTGTAGTCACTTATAGATTTGTAATCCTGGAATCGTAAATTTATCCAGGCATATTGAGCTTTTGGTAAAAAGACCTTTTGTTGATGGCCATACTTTTCTTGGAGATTATCCCATAATTCTTTAGGGTCATCTACCAATAAATACTCAGACTTCAAACTTTCATGAAGATGATGACGAAGAAAGATAATGGATTTTGCCTTATTTTGGGGAGTGGCTGATTTATTTTCAGCAATTGTATTTTCAAAGGCATTTGCTTTTAAATGTGCCAAAGCGTCGACTTTCCATTCCAAATACTTTTGACCAAATAAATTAAGGACGTCGAACTCTCTTTTGCTTATGTTGGCCATTATATAACTGCTTGGAAGATGATGATTTTCGTGATTGGGAGCAAATTCATGCTGATAACGTGTTATAAAATGAAAGGAAACGAGCAGAAGATCAGGGATAGAAAATATAGTATGAACACTTAGTGATAGAGGTGTATTAGAGATGTTCTAACGATGTAATCAAGATGTGTTAATTACAATGGAGAAGACTCCCATTTATAGGAGAAAAGCTAAGCTGATTAGGATTAGAAGATAATTGTGAACCACACAATTATCATCTAGAATCATAATTATGATTTCGTAATTATTTATACAATGGTGATAATAATTTTTAATCAGAAATAATTGGAAGATGACTAATTCAATATATTTCAACATTAATAAGATATACTTCGTATTAACAACAAGTAATAATGTACGAATACTACTCTATTGAGTATGAGTAGACGAATGCCGGTTTGGCGGGGCTTTGTCTGCCCAAATGCATATGGTCCTTATTGGTCCAAATACACTATTCGACTGTGATCGCCCACAAATCATCAGTGGCTAAGTTCGGGTTCCTTTTGACCCAAAACTGAACTCAGAACAGAGTTAATAATTTTGGTTTGGTTCAAATTGGCCATATTTTTTTAAATTATTACTGGTCTGCTGGTTTAATTTCTTTGTTTGAAAGATTGAATGTCCAACCTCAGGGACCTCCCACATCCCCACCTCATAAGGCATATAAGAGGATGTAAGTCTCATTTAGTCGGTCCAATGGTGATAGGTCTTATACCTATCGATACAAAAGATTCAATCCAGCACACAAGAACTGTAACTTACGCATGATCTTTATGAGTTTCGAACCTTGATCATTCTTAAAAAAATTCCACTAGTCAACCAATTGATTACGTTTAGTTTCTTTTAACGTCTTTTGGATGCATAAAAGTATCTCTCATTAATTGAAAAAATAGCAACAATAAATAAACCTACGACAAACAGCCCATCATTGCAACATAGTAGCGTGGGTTTGATTCATTAAGGTTGATTTGGTCTGGAAAACCAATTTCAACAACATAAATCCCATTTTAACATGTGAATAGAAACAATCATCAAATCTAACATCATACATTGACTTTCAAAGAATAGCAAAAAAAAAACTAACGCAGATATTTTGGACAACACTCCAATAATCATAAGCAGATTAACAGACTAGCACATTTCTAAATTCTAAATATGGAGATCAATTCTAATCTAAAATAATATGCACTTACTTAACAAGATTACTTGTAAATCCAATTATCCTAGGAACACTATTATGTGATGAATTAAGGGAAGGAAAGGTACATTAGTCCTTCTTCAGTTCTTCCTCTCAAAATAATTTTACTTCAGGAGAACTATCAAATAAGTCCTCGAACTTTTATAAAAAGTGCAAATAAGCTCTTTACATGAGTCTTTGTCCAGCTGTCGTCATTTAGGGCGGTTTTCAGTGTAATTTTTTGATGAATTTTTTTGAGCATCTTCTTCATTAAGTATAGTTTACTCATACAAAATTTTAGCTAAAAATTCAATCGATAAGGCAGTCAAATGATTTTCTGAAATATACTGCACTGTCTAACTGCGTTGTTATCTTCAAAAATCCATTTGACTGCCTTCCCGATTGAATTTTTAGATGAAATTTAGTATGAGTAAACTAGACTTAATGAAGAAGATGCTCAAAAAATTTCATAAAAAAATACCACCGGAAAACGCCCCAAACGGCGACGGCCGTATAGACCCTCCTATAAAAGGACTTATTTGCACTTTTTATGAAAGTTCGAGGGCTTATTTGGTAGTTTCTCCCTTTTACTTATGATACTAATTTTTTACTACTTTCGTCCCATAAAATTTTGTCATATTGACTTTTCTTGATCAATGATGATAAATTTTGGATAACGATTTTAATTATTATATTTGAATATAATTTATAAATTTTATACCTTATGAAAGTATTTTAAATATGGAAATTTTGATACGTAGTATAATTTTTAAAATTATATGAGTTTGGCGAAAATATAGTTAATTAACATTGGTGAAAAAAAATCAACTTGACAAGCATTTTCGGGACAAAAGAAGTATCAAATTTTAAGAATGTTTTTATTTAGAACGTTTTTGGTCTCACAACAAAGCAGAACAGATTAGACCAGATCACATCAAACCGGACACGAAAATTTCAGTCCAATTAATTAGGGAAATTTCCCAAATTAGGACAAAATAGGGTTTGAAATTCTAAAATATGATTGTAGGACTGTTGTGTTTTTCTTCCTAAATAGGAATAAGATGACAATATTTACTGTCATCTTTTAGTCATTACTGCCAAATTGTTGCACTACTATGCATTCAACATGACCGTATTTATTATAATTAATGACAATATTTTTCAATCATAGAAGTACTCCCTCCCGTCCTTAATTAACTTTACACTTTCCTTTTTGGGTCGTCCTATATTAAACTTTACACTTCCTTATTTGTCTTATTTGACAAACAAATCTACAACAAACATTGTCAAACAATGTCAAACAGTGTACTCTACGGTAAAATCAAATTTATTTCCTTAATATATGTAAAGTCAAAGTGTAAACTTAATTAAGGACCGAAGGGAGTATTTTTTTAATCATGACATTAACAACTATTATTTCGGAAAGAAAAACATTGGAATTCTCAAATTTGTTTACTCTACAATTTCCCTTGAAATTATCATAAATTGGATTTTGTACTTTAAATTTTCTCATAATAATGTAGGTCTGAATATGAAAAATATAATAATTATTTAATATATATCATGTGCTAATACATGACCTATTAATGTTTAAATAAAAGCAATTTAGACATACATACCAATTACCAAACATGTAAAAATTAATGAGAGGCATTCTGTTCTTCCTCGCCATTGTCATCTGGCGTTTGGTGTTGAACATGATGATGATCAGAGCTATTCATATTCAAACCGCTTCTTGGATAAGCCACATTAAAAGAGCCCAACATTCCCAAATTGCCCTCCCGTATTCCTAACCCTAACTGCTCAGACGCCTGTTGTTGCTGCTGCTGCATTATCATGGACCCCAACTGCAACTGCCCTGCTCGGCTTCCCGGAAAATCAAGATTCCCGGTCGGAATGTTGAACCTCGACATGAGATGTAAAGGCGCTTGAAGCGACCCGGCATTCCCACTGTTTGCTTGGAATGCCCACATCTGTCCGCGTTCCGATCCGCCACTCACCGGCAGCATTGAGAAGCTTGCGGCGGAGGGTCCGCCGCCATGCCCCTGCGCCACCGCCCACATAGCGGCCGAAGGCGGTATCAAATTCCCGTGTCGGAATATACTAGGCGATGCTCCGGTTGTATTCTCTTGTAAACTAGATCCTCCGTTCCCTTTGATGTGCTTATTCGACGGCGAATCGGAGCTTCCTGGCCTGCCGGTGGATTCTCCTTGGGAATTTCTTGATCCTTCTTCCTTAAACAAGTCATCCCTGTATCTTTTCCCCAAGTAATTCTCGGTCGTGTCTTGCGGTATTTCTCCTCCGTCTCCTCCTTCCCCTGTCCCGCCGGCTAGATTTCCGGCGATTTGGTTCGGAGTTAAGAAGTGATGGGGTTGGTGAAAACCAAGCATATGTGAGAAGCCTTCCTCATAATGATGACCTGAAAGGCCTAACGAGCTGTGGAAAGAATGTGGAGCCGGCTTAGAAGGCGGCGCCGACATAGACGAGCCGCCGCTGCGGAGGGAAATGTTCAGGGTGGAGAAGTTCGCCGGGATGGTTCCGGTCCCGGTGGAGGCTATGATGGCTGGCTCGGCTTGCTGTAGTAGCCACTCAATTGTTTCGCCGTCGGACTTGTGGCCTAATTCTCGGGTCAGCTGGAAAACCCGAGCCGCGCAAGCCGCCGGCATACGGATACGCCGCCCACGGCCGTCGACTTTCGTGTGCCGGTCTTTGGTCGATCTCTTTGGAGGCGCCGGATGTATTTGGAGCTGCTCGGATTCCGGTATGGTGGCAATGGCAAGCGAGGCGTCGACGAGGTGTGGCGGCGCAGCAGGAGCGGTGGTGGAAGATGTGGAGGTGCTAGAGGAAGAGCTTGAAGGTGAAATGCTAGAGGATGGGGTTGAGCTGGCTGTTTTATTAGCGGCGACGGCGGCATGGCCGGAGATGGAGGCTATGAAAGGCGCCGATCGTGCGCTGCCGTGCTGATGGCGGCTGAAGGGCTGAGAAGCGGCGGCGGTGGAGTTTGGGTTGTCATTGATTTGTATATTGGAGGGCTCCATAGTGGTTTGGTTATGTTTTTGTGTGACTAGCTGGCTGTGGGGTAATCAACCATTTTTCTTTGGTGGGTTCAAATCATACTTTTTTTTGTTTAAAATAATTGCTTTTTATATTTCTGTTTCTTTGCCGTGACTGATGACTGATCATAATCAGCCCCAAGAGGGCTAGACAGAAGTAGAGTGAGACCACAATCATAACTGCATAAGTGAATATTTCAAAATTTCGTAATTTTTACTTTATTGTCTGAATATTTGACAAATTTGACTATAAAAATGAAAAAAAGTAAAAAAAAAGTCACTAAAGCCCATAACCCCCGATTAAAGATATCATGTGTATTAATCCCACTAGTAAACTCACTCGTGCGATGCACGGTCGGAAAATTTTGTTTCAATTTTTTTGTGTACACTAATTCAAATCATACTATCAATTCATGACCGTATATATCTCCATGGAATACTGATATAGATCAAAGCAATAAACGAAATACACTTATAATATTATGGTTAAAAAAGAGCACTAAGCATTATTTAAAAGATAAAAACAACCAACAAATACCTAGAAATCATAACATTGTAAATATGCATTTCATGTAACCCTAAACATTGTTGAATACTTTTTCAATACAACATTTCGAGTCTTGTCAGTGGTTCTTTCATCTTCTAAAAAAATCTAATTTTTAAACCAGAACAATTGGTCACCCTTGATACCGAGATTTTGCCACCTCGGGGTAAATACATTTTTTTAAACAACAACCCAATACGGGACAAAGATTGACATTGAATTTTATTTATAGCCATGACATATGAAGTCATAAGAGGATATTGTCGCCTCTGAAATTTGAAAGGCAAACTGTCATCGGATGGGGTCATGAAAATTAAATCTAGGAATTAATACTTTTTGTCCAGCACTCACACCTGTTAAAATCTTTCCCTCCAAAACATGATCACCGAGCCTCGTTAGAATAAGTCGAGTCTCGTTACACAACCCCAACGAATAATCAATATTTCGCAAAAGCATCACCGGAGTCCCTACCTTAGTACCTTTAACGTTAACTAATGATTCGGTACATCGGATAATTTTATACTGTTCAAGGACTCCGGTGTGTATTATTTTTCCTTTCAAAAAAAAAATCAGATTTAATAATTTTTTATTATCTTCCCATTGCTATCCATATTTCATATAAAAAACTGAAAAAAAAATCATTTTTTTGCTTAAATCTATTTTTGGTTGGATTTTGTTTAATTTTACATATTCAATATTGTTATCATATGAAAGATCATAAAAAATAAAAATATTGATATATTTTTTGAAAAAATTGAATGAAAAATGAAAAAATTATAATAATTGAAAAACTTTAAACAATTGTCATGCCATGTGGCAGCCCAATAGGGTGGGGGTGATGTTCACCCTGAAAAGAGTGGATGAACAAAATTGTTCTCCTCTTCGCCCACCCCTCTTCAATCAGCCCCACCAACATTCCACCCAAAACACTTCTTCGACCCTTCATTTCCTCCAAGCAAAAGACAATTGGCCCCAACCTCTCAACCAACGGTCGGTCAAAAGTCAGTCACACATCTCCCCTTTCTACCGATTCTCCGCCAACATTTCAGGAGCCAGTCATGAATCAAGCTCTTATATGCCTCCTACGTCTCGTATGCCTCATCCGCCTCGTCCTCCGCTTAGACTTATTAAACGGTAAGAACACACTCACTCTACTACACACAATCATCTCACCTATTAAACCTTTATCACAAAACCATCCAATCAGACTTATGTACAAATTAGCACACTCACAACCCACAAATCTAGCAGATTTGCTTTTATTACTACCATAATACTTAAAGATATTTTATGAAAATGATATTTGATTATACATAGCGTTATATCATATACTTTTTTTGGCAAAATGGTTTCATATACAAAAAAAAACATAATATGTTTTTGAAAAAATTATTTGAAAAAATTAATACGACACAATCACGCTCAAAATATTTCTATAATAGATCTACATATATGCATTTAATAATAATAGTTACTTCAATTTTGAAAATTTTGAAAATAAAGTATATGCATGTCAAATTACATTCGATGTGAGGATATTTTAAATCTATTTCTAAAAAAACATTTTTAAATAATATTACTTGGATTTGAACAACATATGAAATATATGCCATTTTTTGTTAAAAATGCACACAGAAACAAATTATTATACATGCATTTTTCTCGAATTTCAACTTTTTAAAAGAACATTAATTGTGTGGTTTTAAAATAATTTGAAAACAATTAATGAAGAAAATATTGAGTTCTGGATTTTTTTAAGTCTATACTCTGTACTTGCTTGCAAATATATGTAAAAAACAATTAATATTTTTTTTTGCAAATATATGTCTCGTGACATCAATGTCAATCCACCAGTCACACGTGCTGCGTCGGACCCTCATGACCCCATTAAACCACCCCACCGACCTAGACTTAAATATCGGGATTCATTAATTACTCTGACCAAACCACCCAAACTGGAGAATTATAACCCAACCACACAAACCATAAACCATTGAACCCTATCCTTGATGTGTAGGATCCCGATACACGTACTCTTGTTGCCCTTGCCTTCATGCCCAGGTGGTCCTGCATCAATCTCATGAACGATAGACCTCGTACCAACCATATTGAAGCTGTATATATATTGATTTTTTTTTTGCTTTGTAAGTTTGATGATCGAGTGAATGAGAGAAATGTGTTATTGAATCTGCTTTTATAGTTGAATGTGAATAGGCATACACTGGGTATGGTCCGCACCCATGATCTATTTTTTTGAAGCTCTCAACAAAAAATATCTTGGGATAGTGAGAATGAGATACATTAAATCTCAATCACTATTCTCACCACCCAAATACACCAATAGGAATAAAGCTAGATAAATAACTCAATGACTCATTGATGTTGATGTTTTTGAGAGGGAACACTATTCCTTGAAAATCTTTTGCTTTTATATATTAATAGATTTTGAACAAGAATAAGCGGACAAGCCCCATATTGGTTTTATTAAATTCAATATCTCTATCGGAAATGATAAATATGGTGTGTGCACCTCGGGGTACATCTTCGGAAACGACCAAGGCGATATTATCAAGTATCAAGCCAACTCTCATTCCCACTCGGATATCACATCGAATATTTGCGATGTTTTGATAAATCTTAAAGCTTTCCTCTTGGAAAAAAACTACACTAAGGCAATTATCGAATGTGAAAAATTACAGGTTATTCAGATTCTTAAAGGTGAGGAATGTCCGGGATGGAAAGCTATATCCAGTTACCTGAAGTTTAAAGAGATCTTTGAAGATGGCGATCTAGTTTTTAGCTACCCCAAAAGAGCTTGTAATAAAGCAACACACTTTGTCGCTCTTAACTTTAATTCTTTTGATAGCAACCATGTCACTTTAAGCAAATTTCTAGGCATTGTAAAATTTGATGCAATTGTCTACCCTTATGTCATTTAAATTTGGTAGGTTTTGGTACAGTCTCTGACCATGTATTTCTTACTTTTTTAATAAATAGGTAAGGTGTTCCTCGACCCTTACCCCACCATAGGGTGGATTAAACTGGGACAAAAAAAGTAAAAATAATATGATTATACTTCTAATACTTTGTACGGAATATATTTTTTGAAAAATGGTTGAATTGAACGAATGCACTGCATTATTGAAAATTATATTTTTAATACTTAGTATATTTTTATGTGTTACCGGTTTAACTATATTTTTATTTGTTAAGAGTTAATTGGTAATGCACAAGAACCAAAGTGGTTGATGATAGTCCCTATTTCTAACAATCTAACAATCATAACAGTAAAGAAGAAGCAAATAGAAATATATGAAGATGAACAACGAATCTGGTATACCATATGTTGGCCGTTGCTCTCCCTCGAGAGAGAGCAGCGGCAAACCTAATCTCTCTATCTCGCCTATATACGCTGAAGCCTTGAAACCTTAGGTTTTCCATAAGTTAGCTTCCTTTTATAGGAGAAGTTGACTAACTTATGGATTACAAAGAAGCTAATGAGCTGATATACATTTGTGACCCATATTACACATTTAATTAACAACTACACAAATACAAAGATATTTAATTAGATTGGACACCATAAAATATTCCTAACAATCTCTCCCTTGGTGTTCAATCGTGCTCAATCGGCATTGCAGCACAAATATCTTTGTCTTTGTGTTTGTTCAGCAATGTAGAGGAGAGCGTAGATAAAATCCGTTGAGTTGCTCCTCTTCTTTAGGGCAGCTCAGCTTCCTTTGGCTTGCTTGTAAAACTTGCCTTTAAGAAGTTGCTCTTGATCAACTTGAATGAAGTCCGGTGGCGCCTCTACAATGAATGTTCTGATGATTTCCAGACGCGCACGGGATCTATCTTCAGTATACGAGTATCTGACCTTTGCCTCCTCCACAATGTAGTTTTTTTGACTAAAAAATGAATGCATTTGAGAAGACTTTATCTGTGGCACAACGGAAAATTATGGTTGACTTGTGAGTGTAGCTGACCATGGCAATTGATTTGTAGAGATAGTAGAGAAAGTGTTGGAGGAAAGCAGTTCCTCAAAATGATTTGTTGAGAGTTATTAGCATGTGGACCACTTGTTGGAGGAGACCAGTTCCTCATAATGATTTGTTGAGAGTTAATAGCATGTGGACCACTCCCCCCTCATGACGATCCGATGAATCGGGGCGTCATGCCTTTATTCTTTTATTCTGACAAACAAAACAGAAAAACAAACAAAAAGGTAAACACCGGAGACACCATGGTGTTCCGTTATCACAACATCAATGTAAACACTGACGTGTGGCCTGTATAAAATGATAGAATCATTAAAGCGTTAACAGGACTTCCAACCAATCATTATGAAGCATCTAAAGTAGATGTCACTCTGGTTGTTATGGCATGATCATAAAGATCAGTGTTGAGAAACTTGTAGCCCCCCGAGGTCATGTAGACACTCGTTATCATCACTATATAGATAAACTCTAAAGCAATTGCCTGGAAAAGTTGGTGATTCTTATGT